CTATTTGATTCAGGATTTTAAAATCAATACAACTTTGTTTTTATTTTTGTTTTTGTTTCCTGAGGAGTTTTTAGTGACATCTATGGTGACATAACTGTGCTAAGAAAAGTGTTGAGAGAGGAGGATGCAAAAAAAAAATCTGATGCCAATTGGAAGGAGTGAGATTTTAGGCAAAGAAACTAGTTATGCTACTACCACAAATTATTCATATAGAATCAAATAATTGTCTGTTCAGGTATGGTGATGGTAGAAATACAAATGAAAAGGCAAATATAAGAGCCATTTCTTTTTGTATGACAGGCCTGTAATTACATCGCATGTAATTTTCCTTCAAGCTACTCAGCACAGTTTGTCACTACATATTTATTTTTGTATATACCTGTATAATATCTGTCTTCCCCTCTGAGAATGTAAATACCATGAGTGATGGAAGCTTTCCTGTCTTGTTCATAGTTTTGTATTCAGCCCTCCCCTGGTGCTTGGCCCATAGTAAGCACACAGTATAAAAATTTTAAATGAAGAGCAAGAGACTCATTGAGTGTGAAAGATAAAGAAGAGGAATCAAAAAGAATTAAGGCTCTTTGGACAAATAGCTGATTCCAAGTATGGGGCAGAGAAAGTGAAAGAAGTGCCTTTGTCATCTTGCTGTGCCTGAAATAAGGAAGCGCTTAAAGCCTGATAGAGATGACAAAACAACATGAAGGGACTGACTTCTTCTTGTTACATTGGAGAATGCACTTTTTTTTTTTTTTTTAGCTGAGCCATCCCGCCACCTGTTGGCAGCTCATGCTGCTCAGCTAGGGCTGACTCGAACCACTGTTGCTCAGAGCTCAAACTCTTGAGCAAGCTCTTAACCAACTGAGCCACTCAGCCAGCCCGAGAATGCACTTTTTACAGAGGAATATAGTGACTAAATATAGAAAGAATGATAGGTTAGAAAACTATCATTTTCAACTACCAATGTAATAATATATTTCGGCAAGGATCATCAGTGGGTGCCAAAACCATTGAGTAAAAGTTGGGGAACAGGATAGTCACAGGGTCTCAAAAGTATCACCCCATGGATTCCCTATTATTTACAAAGGGACAAAATGCACCTTTACAGTGTTGAAATCTGGCAGACACCACTTTAAACCAGTAATCGAACTTAACCAATAATGGGACAACTTGACATCATGTACTTCCTGCTGTGTCACACTGAAAGACTTAATGATTTGGTATCTAATAATGAGGAAAATTTCAGACAAATCCTAAGTTGTAGAATATTCTTCCTTCTACAAAATACCTGACCTGAACACTCCAAAAGTTTTAATGTCATGAAAGACCAAAACAAAGAAATAAAAAAAGCAGAGGAATTATTCTAGGCTAAAGGAGGCTAAAGAGATATGACAACTAAATAAATTGAGAGAAAAAAACAGCTATTACATAATAGACATTACTGGGACAATTAGAAGAAATTTGAATATGGATTGTATATTAATATGATAACAGTATATTAATGTTAAATTTCTTGCGTTAAATTTCCTGAGTGAGGATAACTGTATTATACTATGCAGAAGAATGCCCTTGTTCTTAGGAGATATGTGCTCAAAGAATTTAGAGATAACAGTCATGATGCTTACAACTTACTTTCAGAATTTCAGGAAAAAAATGGAAAAAAGATAAGAGCAAAATATTAATAATTGGTGAATCTAGGTGAAAGGTATATGGGTGTTCAGTGTTCTCTTTCAATTTTTCTGTAGGTTTTTAAAAAATAAAATTTCAGGAAAGAATTTTAAACAGCAATACTTTCAATACAAAAAATTCTAAATCTATACATCTGAGAAAACTGTTGGGAAGGAATTTAGTCAAGAGAAATAATTTTGAAGGAAAGGTGAATTCATTTTGAGACATCTTGAGTTTGACAGGAAAACCAGGTAGGAATGCACAATAGACTCATATATTCCACAGATGCTCCTCTACTATGGGCCAAGTACTGTGCTCAGCCCTGGGGATACAGTGACGAAAACAAAAGAAATAATAGCAACAACAAAATCAGAGGAAGTCACTGTCCTCATCAATTTTCATGCTGATGGGAAAAAAAGATAGTACACAAGTAACCTAATAAATGAACAAGCTTACATTTACAGATTGCTAAAAATGTAGCATGCAACAGAAAATAACAAGTGCTATACAAAATTGGACCATGAGTGAGGGGGCCAAGGTGGAGAGAAATATGTGTTTATCAGTAATTTTTTAATTAGATTTTTTAAACTATGGAATTCAAAAACTTTACAAAGTTTTGCCATTTGAAAACTTAATATATTTTTTAAATTAATTTCATTTTCAAAAATTTTGCTGTTTAGCAATATTTTTTTCTTTTACAAATGCCCTTTGGTAGTT